CATCTCGACACATGAATCTTCTACGAACTCAACAAATCGGAGAAATGTTGCACTCTCCCAAACGTTGTCGCATTTTCAAAAATCCTTTGGCAAAGGCTGCATTCAAGGTCACCAAACGACTTTTTCAGCTCAGAAGTGCCCACATTATCGATATTTAAGACGTTCATTTACACATCATCGTGTATTCGCTTTCTAGAATTTTTGCCATGTATTATTTGTCCTTCTCCTCCCTTATGAATAAAGACCATCTTTCCTCTAATTCCTTTTGAGCATCTTGAATTAGATTTAAACCTAATGATTTATTTATTTTTTATGAAGGATAATCGCATATTACTGTACAAAGATTCATTGAAAAGTACAGGTACCCAAGAGCCGATCAAGGCTCATGCACATACTTGAGATAGTTGAGGAATATCTCCCAAATCAAGAAAAAACAGAATGTGCACATCAGATTTAAACATTTGAAGAAGTCAAGGTCAGAGATCGGAACCTCAAACTTTCAAAATCAAAAGTCAACAACGACAGGCCACCGGAGATCAAGATTTCTCTCCAGAGCCCATAATAACATATGTTGCATATACATTTTAGGCATACCTAAGAGCATGACATCCCTAACATCGCATATATGCATATCTTTGCAGGTTTTACCCAGAGTCAATTTCAACTTCACAACGAAGGATATTGGACTCCAGACAACGCAAGTTCAACTTCACGACGAAGGGACCGCTGGTTGTCAACAAACATTTCTCAAATACAGAGCCAATTTCAACTTCACAACGGAGGATATTGGACTCCAGACAACGCAAGTTCAACTTCACGACGAAGGGACCACTGGTTGTCAACAAACATTTCTCAAATTCAGGGCCAATTTCAACTTCACAACGAATGATATTGGACTCTAGACAACGCAAGTTCAACTTCACGACGAAGGGACCGCTGGTTGTCAACAAACATTTCTCAAATTCAGGGCCAATTTCAACTTCACAACGAAGGATATTGGACTCCAGACAACGCAAGTTTGACTTCACAACGAAGGGACCGCTGGTTGTCAATAAACATTTCTCAAATTCAGGGCCAATTTCAACTTCACAACGAAGGATATTGGACTCCAGACAACACAAGTTCAACTTCACGACGAAGGGACCGCTGGTTGTCAATAAAAAGGTTCTCAATTTCAGAGACAATTTCAACTTCACAGCGAAGGATATTGGACTCCAGACAACGCAAGTTCAACTTCACGACGAAGGGACCGCTGGTTGTCAACAAAATTTCATTCAGAGTCAATTTCAACTTCACAGCGAAGGATATTATACTCGAGACAACACAAGTTCAACTTCACAACGAAGGGATGGCTGGTTGTCAACAAACAATTTCCCGATTCCAGAGCCAATTTCAACTTCACGACGGAGGATATTGGACCCGGAACAATACTACTTACTTGGAAGGATATCCAATTCCAGGCTCAACTTCAAGATGAAGGGGCCACCCGCGGTTTCAATTTCACGGCGAAGGGAATCGTGCACACAAGCATCATCCATCTTTAGATTGGATTTCAACTTCACGACGAAGGATATCCAACTTGAGAAAAGATATCTGTCAACGAAGACTTGTCGAGTCTTTAGCCGAGAAGAAGACCAAAGTTGACTACACCAAAGACAACGAGAAGCCACATTCCAATTCTGAACTATGGCTTCAATTCCATATCACTACAATATGAAATCGACTTCGCGACAGAGGAGATTCGATATGAACGAAATCTGTGTCTTTTTATCTTTGTCCTATTTTTCGTTCCACGAAAAAAGAAAAAGAGGGGCAGCTGTCGACACATATTTTCGTCCGAGCATGACATTCACGTGTTAATTTTTATAGTATATAGTATATATACATTACATAATATATACATATATTATAATTATATAACATATATCACATACATATTTTTTTCTCATCCATTTGCATTTATTACATTTTAAGGCTCAAATACAAATAAAGAACAAGCCCAGCAGACAACCCACACGTGACCAGAACCAAACCCATGAACCGGTCCAGCTAGGGTTTCCAGAACCCTAGCTTTCTCCTCTCTTGCTCACCATGCGCCGCTTCAGCCCCACCGTTAGATCCAATGTTGATCCAAGGACCAAAATTCAAGGAAACTAGGGTCACTTCAGCCGCTTCTCCTCGCGCCGCACGAACCAAACGACCGAGCTTTTCGGCGAGACCTCGGCACCAACAGCAACAAATCCAATAACCCCGATTTTTCGGGTGCACCAACAAGTCAAAAAGCATATTAGTGTTAGAGTCCTATTAGGAGTCTTACGCTCTAAAAATAGTCGATTTCTAGGCTATAAAATGAGGTAACATACACGATTTTAAGGGAGGTTTTTTGGAGGAGAAATATCAGAGAGCTTTAGGCACAAATACCAGAAAACATACGAAACAAATAGATAGCTATTTCAAAGCACTCTTGTACGAATTTCAAAAGAAATAAAGGTATTTGTTTTTTTTTCCTTTTACCTTCGATTCGTTGTGTACTTGGCTTGCATGTGGTTCTCGTTGCTTGGTTTCGTTGTTTTGCTCCGAAAGACACCAAATAGAACCATTTTCGGCCGATGAACGGGAAGTTCTTTTAGATCTGTCTTGTTAGATCTAGTAATCCCGAGGCCCGATCTAAAAAAAACTATCCGGATTTTTGGAAAACCAGAGGAAAAGAGCTTTGAAAAATGAAAAAAAGGTTTTGCCGCCGATGAACGGCGGCCGTCGTCGTTCAGCGGCGGCGGCGAGGCGGCGCAAGGTGGCCATCGGCCGTTTTCTGGATTTCATGGTGGTCGTGTTCTTCAATTGAAGAACACGGTTGAATGTGGAGAGGAAATGAGAGAGAGATGAGTGATTCGGCTAAGGAGAAGAGAGCAAATGAATTTTTTAAAACAATTTTAAGTTATATACTAAACCCAAATCCGCGTGTTTTTCTTAACAAAAGGAGAAACTACACGTTTGGTCCTCTCGTTTTGTTTAAGAGCTCGATTTGGTCCCTGATTTCAATTTTGAACTCAATTTACATTAAGATTCAGTCTCTGTTTCTGATTTTCTTTTAATTCGGCCACCCAAGTTTGTTTTATTTTATTATGATCCTTTATATATATACATTTATATACATTGTTATAGTATACTATATTTTTTTAGTTTTTTATTTATTTATGCTATATTATATTATATTTTATGTATAGATATTATTTATATTTCTTTTTCGTTCTTTATATATTTTATTCTATTGCATATATTTTTCTTACGTAAATTTTTATATATGTTTGTATTATTTTTCCTATTTTTATCTATTTATTTGTTCATATTCTTATTTCATTTTTTTTCTCTCTTTATTTTTTCTTTATATTTATTCATACTGCTGTGTGTACCTTGTTATTTTCTTTATTCTGTCTAGTTGCCTCATATCTTTCCTAGTACTTTTATCTTCCATGTCTTCATTTTTATTTATATGTGTATATTAACTGTTTTTTTTCTACTTTCCTCATTTTATTTTACCACCTTTTTTTTACGTTCTTTGACTTTTAAAGGGTTCGTTTTCAATCAATCAGAGGTAAGCAATTAGGAACGTTATTTTACCTTTTTAATTTAAACTTTCTATTTTCTTAATCTAAGACAACTGAAAATTATGTAGTACCGAAAGGGCGGTTCAAGGGTGCTAATCCTTCCTTGACCGTAACCGACTCCCGAACTCGACATATCACTGGTAAGATGCAGATCAGGTAAGACCTAGGGTATCCGATCAACCCATTTATTTTAAAATAAATGATCGGTGGCGACTCCAATCTATATTTTTCAAGTCGAAGCCCAATTCCGGGGCCCAACCGAAAGACGGTTCCGACACATACAAACTATACGATTGAGGTGGTAAAATAATTTAATATTAATCCTTGAAGTCTCGAGTTTAAGCACCAGGAATGTCAAGGGTGTGAGCGTTCGCTATCAAATGGTTGAGATTTATCTTTTAACATATATTACATTGTACTTACCCAAGATTAATAAAAAATAAATAAAATAAAAACTTTCAGATAAGTGTATTTTTTACCTATATAGCAAGTCATCTAATGACTTTTCTCATGTCGACGTCACTCATGACTAAAATAAAAGAAATAAAATATAATAGGTGAATAATTGTACAAATTTTAGTCAAGGAGAAATAGTGTACTATTCGTGCCGAAGACACTTAATTTAGAAATAGATTAGAGGGGTCAGTTAGGAGTAATCGTCCTCATAAAAAATTTTTAATTATTATATTTTTTAGATTCTTTTAAATTTTATATTTATAAATTATTTTTGTCCCTCTAGAATTTTATAAGTTTATTCATTCTTAAAATTATAGAAATTTATCCTCTAACATAAGATATTGTGTTTGTCTTTGCATAATTGCACAAGCAAAAGCATGAGCTGATTGGATAGCGACGAAAATAGCACATATGTATATGTATTGTCTTCAATCACTCAATTTCTTTAAAAAAAAATCTTCAACCACTCAATGAATATTTGTGTAAAAAATTATATTTGAAATATTTAAAAAATCATATATAAACAATGTGCGACTTGTCCTTATAAAAATTATTAATTTTTTTTATATAATTTTAGAGTTTTTTTGGACTATAGTTTAAAAATTATTAAAAGACCAAATTGATATTTTAATTGTAATTTAAGGATCAAAATAGGTATTAATCTTGTATTAATTTAGGCCGAAATCAATTTGATAAATATTTGCAATGCAGTGATTATTTTATTAATTTTTATAACTTGAGTAATAATAACATAATTTTTGAAACTGTAATTATTAAAATAAAAATTTAATCAAAATTTGGTGACCATGGTTTCTAGTTTATCCTATTATATTTGGTATTTTGGGATGTTCAAAGCGGTGCCGTTTCATTAGATATCACTATTTGCCATTGTCCGGACCGGGTTACCCGTCTGATCAGGTTAAGTCGTAGTTCAGCAGCAGAGGAAAAGGAACAAAGATAGAGAAGAATAGAGATAGATATGTATTCACCCTCAATACTGCGTCGTTTCTTCTGCATCAATGCAGCAGCATCTTCATCAGTAGCACCTACTTCTTCTTCTTCTATTACTTCAAAGAAAAAGTCACTTGTCTTCTTGGGTTCGCCTCAGGTACTTCAAACTACTTAGGAACAAAAACTTCATTTTCCTTATAATACACTTGTATGTTTAAATAATTTTTTTTTTCGATGCCGTTTTGTTTTATTTTTTAAACAGTGGGTTCTTTTCTTAAGGTCTCTGCTACAGTTCTCGATGCTCTCTTCAATGCCTCTGCTTCACCAAGTTCTTCTTTTGAGGTACTGCAGAGGAAAAGCAAGTTTGAATTTTTTTAACTTATTTTTGTCTTTTATAAGCTCTTTTGATAATGGGTTACTGGTAGTTGTTGAAAATATCTTCCTCATCGGAGATAATGTTCATTGGTAATTAGCTATTATTTATGGTTTTAGGCTTCACAGTAGACGGTTGTGTTTTAATTGAAGCGACGATTCAAGTACTTGATAATTCGACTTGAAAAGTGGGAGTTAGCCTGTCAGTTAGTATCCCAAATATTTGGTATTTTCCGGGAAATGGATTCTGATAACCAATATCTTAAAATCCAGATTGTATGCGAATTGAAACTTTACTGGTTTTCTTTGCATTGTACCTTGAATCATTTGGTATATGTATTGACTGAAGAAAGAAATTAATACGTGTGCTATTTGAGACATAGTTTTATCATTTTTCATTGATAGTCATTGTTTAATTTGTAATTTATGTAGATTGCAGCTATTGTTACCCAGCCTCCTTCTAGAAGAGATAGGGGCAGAAAGATGATGCCTTCACCAGTAGCTCAGTATGCTCTTGTTAGAGGCTTTCCTTCTGACCTCATCTTCACACCTGAACGTGCTGGAGAGGTAGTTTTCTTTCAGTGTTCCCATTCAGTATAATTTGGATGATTAAGTCATTCATTAGTTCTTATGGAAAATCTAAAACTGCATGATAATGTGCTCAATTGCTCATTTGATTGATCTGAAACAGATCTTCAAAATTGAGTCTAATTGTACTGCTATCTTGTTCTAATAATATTGAACTTTTGGTCCTGTTAGAAATTGGGAAATCTTGTTTACTAGAGATCATTGTATGGAAGAAAGAAAAGAGGAGTGGGGGGGGGGGGATCTGTATTGGTCTGTATGCATCAGTTTTTATTTATACACTTTTGAAGCAACCAAATACGGCTAGAAGTATTTCTACTTTGCGAGATATGGCACTATATAAAAGCCAATAACTTTCCTTACCTGCTTATAAGAAGTATTTCTTTCTACTTTATATAGGAGACCTTCTTGTCCAGTTTAAGAGATTTGCAGCCTGAACTTTGCATTACAGCAGCATATGGGAATATTTTACCCACCAAGTTTCTCAACATTCCATCATTAGGTTAGTCCATGAGAGTTTTGTTAACGGATTTGGAGTTTTTTGTTTCTGCTTCTTTGACATGTCTTTGTTTGTGCTTTTATCAAATGTTTGTTCTCAAGTCAACAAACACTGAAACTATTTTTTTCTTGGAATGTATAATAGTAATGTGATCATTACGGAATCAGCTTTCCACCAAATGCTAGTCTTGTTGACTTAAGTTTGTGAAGCATCTACCACCTAGTAGAGATTTGTTATTGTAGTTGGAGTCTTATCGACACCAACTATATGTGTTGTTAGATTGTTAAACAGCTAAGGATCAATATCCCTAAGTTATTTCAAATCATTTTCAGTTTTCATTTTTGATCCTTACTGCTTTTCAATTTTCTAGCAACATAGCTATAGGTGAAAAGGAGGGAAGTACAATTCTTAAGAATTTTCATGTAGTGTATTTATTATAGGATCCCTCATTTTATCATAACTACTTGCATACAAATCAAATCTAGGCTTAAAGTTGTGCATAGTTATCCATTAGGAGAACAATGGTCTTACTAAGGATTAAGGGTATGCTATCTTCATTCAGCAGTTGTAACGCATCCTTCTGTTTTCTCAGGAACAGTCAACATACACCCAAGTCTACTGCCATTGTACCGTGGTGCTGCTCCTGTTCAAAGAGCACTTCAGGTTCCTCCTCACGATAAATTTCATTTTAATTATGACTGCTTTTACAATTCTCCTATGATATGGAACCATTCAGTTTCTTCATTAGGATGGTGTTAAAGAGACAGGAGTCTCATTAGCATTTACTGTACGTGCCTTAGATGCTGGACCTGTCATTGCCCGGGAGAAAGTCGAAGTTGATGACCAAATTAAAGTAAGGGTATTTATTTTTCAAAGTAATTCCTAAATCAGTAATCACTGATTCAGTCATTAAATGTTCAATTAATATTTACCTTTGTAAATTTTCAAATTGCTCCAGATCTATAATACTTGATTAACAAGATAAATGGACTTTTCTGTCATCTATAATACTTATTTACCTTTTCTCGCCTCTGCCATTTTTTTCAGTTCTAGCTTACAAAACTGACATTTTGCACCCTGCACTATTTACAATATATAACCTCATAAATTGATTAATTTGATGAATGCTTATATGATTTACATGCAGGCACCAGATCTTCTAGCATTACTATTTTCTGAAGGTGCTCCTATTGTCTTCCCTAAATTTCTCATATCTTGTTCTGCTTCGTACCCAAAACTCTTGCAGTTTATCTACTATCCCTCAAACAGCTTGCATGAAACTTATTGGTTGTAGATAGTAATCATCAAGATTTATGAATCACTCTAACTCTTCCATCTATTTTTATTTTTAAAATAGCTCATACAATTCCGTTAACAGCTGCTATATATTTTTCCACATAACTTGTGTTGTTCTAAGGACATAGGCTGCTTTCATTTTCCATACTCATATCCTTTTGCGGGCATAAATTAGTGATTAGTCTCAGGAAAGAGTTTACGAGATCGAGACCTGAATGATAAAACTATAAGACTTGCTTTCTTGTCAAGAATCATAATTCTCATAGATTCTTTGTCTTGTATAGGCACTGTACTTGGTACATAGATTCTAATAGACTATTTAGTGCAGTTACCTTGTTGCTATATTTAATTTCCTCTTGGGGAGAATTGTCTCATTTTTTAAGTTATGCAGGGTCTAAACTTCTTGTACACAAACTTCCTTCCATATTTGACGGATCTGCTAAAGTGAATGCAGAACCTCAAGATGATTCTAAAGTTACCTTGGCTCCAAAGGCAAGGGTTCCATTCTCTTTAATTTTTTTATCTGTTCTCCAAGTATCATTCATATGAATTATTTGAATATTGCTGGCTTGTTGCCTCTTTGGTGTACGTTATATATTTCCACATGATTACTACTCACTAATGGTTCACAAGTAACCAATGTGAAATAATATGTTCAATCATGCATTTGGTGGCTCTATCAGCGACCTTTAATGAGTACATAGTTTTGCTTAATCCCCCCCCCCTTTATATAAGCAGATAAGTCCAGAAGAATCTTGGCTATCCTTTGATGAAGAAGCTTTAGTTCTACATAATAAGGTTGTCTTCTCTTCCACTTTCTTTGAATCTGAGAATACAGTCATGACATGCAACTTGTTTAGGTTCGTGCATTTGCAGGTTGGCCAGGAACCCGAGCTAAAGTTTTAGTTGTTGACGACAAAAGTAGCAACCATAATACCCTGGAACTTAAAATCATCACCACAAGAGTAGGGCCTGATGATATAAAATTCAGGGAAATGATGTAAATGACATTACTTCCGTCGATGATGCATTGGTGTTTCCCTGTGGAGGCCGTACTACTCTTGAGGTACACGAAAATCCTGTGTTTCCGGTGTTTCCAGTGGATGTTTATGTGTATTGTTGGCTATGTTTTATGTACCAAGAAACCTTTATTTTCTATCCTAAAGCTTAAATCATATCCCACAAGCGAGGAGCGAATGCGCTTTTTTATCTTATTTTTTAGTTTCTTATTGATTTACTTGTTTGCCGGTTTTGAAACAGGTATTGGAGGTTCAACTTCCTGGTAAGAAGGTGACAACTGCAGCAGCCTTTTGGAATGGTTTACGTGGTCAGAAACTGAAGATACTATAACTGAGGAGCCATTTTGTTTGCATTTCATTCATACATAAAATAGTTCTTTCAAGCAAACTCCTTGTTTTTTTTGTTGGAACATTTAAGCAAACACGAATGCTCTGAGTATTTTTTTTTCTAAATAGTTTGATATGATTATAAAGTAGTATACATTTAAAATTTTTGACAATATGTGCACACCCTATATACGCTGCTTGAACGTAATTTTTTAAAGAACAATATTCTCTTTTATCACTCAATATACACATGGTATACGAGTGGTGAAATTCCTCAACCTGGTGTACAGTTTTCATACTTGTGTGTGTGTGTATATAATATACAACTCTCACAAGATTTAGATGTTAAAATAACACATGACGATAAGAATACACGTATGTATTGTAGCTTTCTGTAGGAATCTTGGATGAAATGGAAAGAAAATTTGGTATTTCTTTCTTTCCTTGATTCCTTTTTGTTTTGGTTACTTAGGTTGAAAGGAATATAAAGAGAGAAAATGAAAAGGTTTCTTTCTACTTCTTTTGTCAAATCTTATCCTTTCAAAAGGGAAGGAATTTGGACGGGAACACTCTTTTTATTTAGTTTAAGCTTAATTCATTCATTGATATTTAAATCATATCATATTTCCATCTTACTAAATTTTTTAAGTGGTACTTATGCTTTACTTTTTCCACCAGCCTATGTCAAATACTCCATGCTTTACAAAATTTACCAAGGAATATGCAACCTACCGCTGATAATTTGGAGCACTCTAATTTTTGCTTTTAGAAAGGGCGCATTGAGCTTCATGTTTAAGCAATATGGAGTTGATTTGAAGATGGGATAGGGATAGGGTGGCACTGGCAGATGCGATCACTGATTCTCTTATTCTTCAACATTGTTAGGCCCAAGGCATCTTCACTTTCCTCTTTTTCTCTATCACCATAACAAAAAAACTGGCTTACGACTCTTGTCCATTCTTTTTCCATTTTGATCTGCAAATGCCCATTCTTTACTATTGTAGCATTCTCTTGGTTGTAATTCGTGTGTAGAAGAATACCCGAGGTTTACAGAACTCCTGGAGCATCATGATTCGATTTAATCTCCTACAGATTAAACCTTTTTCCAACCCAGACATGATTTGAACTTGTTTCTGAATGCTGATGAATAAATCAATTTCACCCACCAATGATTGAGCCCAATCCCCAGACATGGAACAATTGCTTTGTAGAATTTCAAGCGAAAATATTAATATGGAATCTACCAAATGACATTATTATTGCTATTTTAATAATAATTCAAACTCCAACCACAGGCCAAAATTTAATATTTATGTTCATAAAGATTCATAGACAGATAAAGTATGGTTTGTGGGATTACCTTTTGTTCCTTTAATATTTTTTTTTCATGCTAACCAGCATTATCTTCTGGACCTAATCTTTTTCAAACTTTAGACATATGAGATGAGATGAAGGGCTTTAAGTATCTACTGTTTCCTTTATTCTTTTTTATTTATTTAAAAAACAACAATTCCTTTTCTGTATAAATACCAAGTCTCAAATTCCCATTATCATGTGCACTGTCCACTGTCCACTGTCCACTGTCCACATTTCTTTGGTTTTCTCTCTCTTCAACTCTCTTTTTGTGTACCCTCAAGCTTTCTGCAACAAACATGGGGGCTCTCGATTATATTTCAAACTTTTGCATTGTCTCCGAAAGGAGGAGCAAACGCAAGCCAATGCAGGTACCTTTCTTCTTCTTCTTCTTCTTTGAATCAACAATTCAAGAAATCACCTGCAAAACTCCACTTTCCTACTAATTCAGTCAAAATTTTTCAGACAGTTGAAATCAAGGTTAAAATGGACTGTGATGGCTGTGAAAGAAGAGTCAGAAATGCTGTCACCAACATGAAAGGTCTAATTAATCCAACCCCCACTGTTTCATAACATCATTAACATCTCCATACTTATTTCCCATTACTTGTATGTTGTTAATAGGCGTAAAAACTGTCGAAGTAATCAGGAAACAAAACCGCGTGACGGTGACCGGGAACGTGGATCCGAACAGGGTGTTGAAGAGGGTGAAGAGCACGGGGAAGAGGGCGGAGTTCTGGCCGTATATCCCACAGCATGTGGCCTTATATCCGTATGCGACGGGGGCATACGACAAAAGGGCACCGGCGGGATTTGTTCGGAACGTGGCGCAAGCTTACCCTGCACCTTCTTCCAACGCCCCCGAAGAGAAGTTCGCCACCTTCTTCAGCGATGATAATGTTCATGCGTGTTCCATCATGTAGGGTGAAACAACTGAAGTTAGATTAAAATGGTGGATTTTTGACGACCATATGCTGTTTATATATTGTGTTCATTGGGAAATATATTAGTTAAACCTATTTCGTATAATTTAACTTTGTCTATTTCTGGTTTTTGGTCCCTCTGCTTAAGCTTGAATAATTTGGTTATGGTCAAATTTTCTCATTAGTCCCGGTACTATGCATATATAATGGATTTAGTCGTTATATTTTTTTAATTTTAAAATTTTAGTCTTAGTACAAATAGTATGAACAATATGATTAAATTCTTAACTCAAAATGGCCAAATTGGAGAATAAGAATTATATTTTATTTTTTATTCATTGTTGAGTAGAGTTTCCCCCCATTAATTTAGGGTGCGTACAAGTGATAGTGTATGTTCTAAAGATTATCGACCATTTGACAATAAACACTTAAATACCATGCATCTCTAATACGCTAACTTAAAACCTTTAAAAAATAACAACCATAGTCATACGTGACTACACTGATTATAGTACTTTAAACTTTTAATTTTTCACAATGTATATTACTCTACTCTAAATTATCACAAGTGATATAAAAATAATAAGAGAAAGATGGGAAATTTCAACCAAAAAAAGGGTACTTGTGTTTAGGCTATAGATCAAAACCTATACTAGCTAGTTACAATATTTCAAATTTTCAATTATCATAATAAATACGTAACTCTATTTGAATTATCATAATCAAAGATAGAATCATAAAAAGTATTATTATGATAAAATAAATAAGGCTTAAGGGTGACATTTGTCCCTGTAGTAGATCTAATTTATCATTTTCGCTCATATCGTATTTTTGTATCAATTTAGATTCAAAGTTGTTTAATTGCATCATTCTATACCCTAACCTAATTTAAAACCCTACATTATAAACATTAAGATAGGCTTAGAGGTTATGGGGTTATGTTTTAGGATTTGTGTTTATAATTTAGGATGTTAAGTTAAGAGTAGGGTATAAAATGATGCAATTGAGTAACTTTGAGGGTTAAATTGATACGCAAATATGATAGGGACGAAAGTGATAAGTTGAATCTATTATAGGAGCAAAAATTACCTTTTTGCCATTAAATAAATAAGACATTCATCACCTTTCTATTATTATTTGTGGGAAAAAAATCCTTATCAATATACCCGATTTTTTTAGAAGAAACTATTTTCAAGTTTGAAGAGTTTGAGGGTAGTGAAGGATATGATTCTTGCTTCCCACCTCAAACGTGGTAGACTATTTTCCGCATCTTTTTTACCTATAAAATGGCAAACACATTATATTGTTATGTTCCTTCCATTTTCATATAATAATTACATACTATAGGTTTAAGGGTCATTTTTACTTTTGTAGTAGATTTAATTTATCATTTTCGCTCCTATTGTATTTTCGTTTCAATTTAATCTTTAAAATTGTTTAATTGCATCATTATATATCTTACCCCTAACTTAAACCCTAAATTATAAACCCTAATATGTGGTTTAGGTTTAGGGTTTAGAGGTCATGAAGTTATGATTTAGGGTTTAAGATCTATAATTTAGGGTTTAAATTAGGGGAGGATATAGAATGATGCAATTGAGCAATTTCGAGTGCTAAATTGATACGAAAATACAATAGGAGCGAAAATGATAAATTAAATCTACTACATGGGTGAAAATTACCCTTTTGCCCATACTAAATGAGTTTACTTTTATATATGGATGGGATTGCAATTTTATGATTCTATAAAGTTCAATTAATTTGGGAGAATTTCGATCATCCAATTTCCATTTAATTTATGTTGTGCTTATATGTATACCAACCAACATAAAAAAGCACGTGGATTACATTTGAGATGATTAATCAAAATGAAAATTAGGAATCTTTGGCACTACTGTACAAGATGTCAATTTAATGCCAATGTAGGTGAATTTGTGTTTATCTGTCAACATCATTAGCACTAACCAAATTAAAAGTAATCCAACTTCATGTGGATTTCAAAAAAATATATATAATATATCTAATTTATCATTTGAATCCTTCGTCTTTTCGCATCAATTTAGTTTTCAAAGTTGTCTAATTGTATCATTGTATATCTTACCCCTAACTTAAAATCTTAAATTGTATATCGTAAGTTAGGGTCTAGATGTTATGGAGTTATGGTTTAGAGTTTAAAATTTATAATTTATGGTTTTAAGTTAAGAGCATAGCATAGAATGATGCAATTGAACAATTTTGAGTGTTAATTGATACGAAGGGCGAAAGTGATAATAGGTTTGCTACGAGTAAAATTTATTCTTTTGTTGTTATAATATTTTACGAATATTATTAATATGATATGGAAGTTATTGTTAAAGTAAGTTACACTATTGAAGAGTATAATTACAATAATTCCAATTATAATGAACAATAATATAACTCAGGCATAATAATTAAACTCGAAAATAGTTGACAAAGAGACTCGGAAATAATTGACACTTTCCTACTTGTGTGGTTGCATACGAATCATTACGGAGTTATTAAGAAAGTGGGAAAAGCTTATGAATGGTGGGGACGTGAAGTTAGTGCTTAGGGATAAAATCACTTGAACTATTCTTTAAAAAAAACAAAAATAGTACAAATGAAAAGTAGGAAACTGTGAGTTGATAAATCTCTATTTAGCTTATTCCAATAGATAATACATTCGTTGGCTAAATCATTCTCATTGTCATTGTCATTGTCATTGTCAACTACTTTGCTTTGCTTGCTCAAAAAACTAATATATCCCTAAACTATGTAAATAATTAGCTGAATTAAAACACGTCTACAGTTTGTTTGAAGTTTGGGTTTTCACAAAATATTTATTCTTTTCTAATTTTGAGATCAATTCAAACAAAAGATTATATATATATAAAAGAGCCGGGATCCGTTTATAGATAGTACAAAACTTTTAATGTTTAAGGGTCTTCTTTTAGGATATATTCAATTTATCATTTTCGTCCATATTATATTTTCACATCAATTTATCTCTCAAAGTTATTTAATTATATCATTTTATACCCTACCCCTAACTTAAAACTATAAATCATAAACTTAAAGTTAGAGTTTATAATTTAGAGTTTATGGTTTAGAGGCTATGGGGTTAGAGCTTAGGGTTTATAATTTAGGGTTTTAATTTAGGGGTATAGAATGATGCAATTGAACAACTTCGAGGGTTAAATTGATACGAAAATACGATAGGGCAAATTGATAAATTAAGTCTACTACTAGGACAAAAGTTGCTCTTTTGCCAAATTTTAATTATACACCTTTTTAGGGTTATTGAATTAGTGAAAGTAGACGGCAGAAATTAATAGTAAAAATAAAAAAGATATTTACAAGAAATCATAAAAATATAAATTTTGTCATCTGTTTTCACTCATTTAACAATCTCAAAAAAATATAAAACTAAAAATAAAATGTGTTACCTAAAATATATACTTCTTAGCGATTTCAAGATATTAAAAAGTGACTAAGAAATCAATAATAAGATATCGGTACAATGCCAATAAGTGTTGGCACAAGTGGTTGAGATTCATGAATTTGAGCTTGTAAGGCTAAGTTCGAATCCCACCACCGTCACTCTTGGTGGGTAATCTGTAAAATCCTATGTAAATCCCAATTGGGTCTTAGGTATGCCCTGACCCTAGACTGGGGGAGCCACCTCTGACCTAAATTTTTTTTGTACCAAAAAAAAAGATATCGGTACAAGAACATTTAAATTTAATTTCTGGAGGTGACAATAATTAAAATCTTAATATGTATTTAAATTTTTTTTAAATAATGTATTAAATATAAATATATATTTGGCGATAAAATAAATTAAACCATCATAAAATTAATATTCATGTAACCTCTAAAATTCTAAAAGAAATATCAACTTTAAATGGTTAAAGCATTGTAAATAGAAGCATAAAAAGATGCAAGAAAACAAAAATCGGCTGCCCTAATGGCAAGCATAGTTTTCACAATTTCAACGACATCCCCCTAAATTTTGGCTTTAAAATCTAATGGAATGACGTAATACAAACATTTTCTTTCAATTAGTGGTAGTTATAAATTTTCAATTAGCAACACAAATTAGGTATGATCTTAAATAATTCTTTTTAATTATATGTTTAATTCAAAGGACAGCAGAATTAATACAAATTTTTTTCTTCAATATAACCATATAATTATGTAGTGGGGACTAATTAGTATTATAAAATTTAACCATCATTACTTGGGCCGCTTAGCATGTGAGGGTCATTATAATGAAGTAGCTTTTTGAAAAATAATTAAAGCTATATAAAAAAGGGACAGCACTAGGGGTGGGAATGGTATGATAGTTTATATACGGATCTTATTATTGATGTCAGTCTTAAGATTATGATAATATCTATAGGCTAATAAGAATAAACAATATGGTTATCAAATAATGAGTTTAGTTCTTGCAGATTACATGGATTTTGCCAATGATAATAATGTTGTAGTTGGGCAGAGGATATAAAACTCATTAAATAAAAGAAAGAGTGATTATAAAGGTATATGCCAAGAGATTGTAATTGGTCGGAAGATGTTAAAATTCCTTTTCATAAAATAAAATAATAATAACGGAAATACAATTTACAAAAAAGATTCGAATGAGATACGATAAAGCAAAGTAATTAAACATGGCAATGATTGAAAAATATTGAGCCTAAACCAGATTATAAGACATAATATTACTAGGTAAAGTCATCATGTAGGTTGGCCCTGCATTTCATGGCAATGATGTCCCCACCCACTATTTCAGCTTAATAAAGTGGGATTGCCATTTCAACGTTGGTAATGGTTTGGCAAAATCAAAACAAATCCCACCCCACCCCCTTCTCTTCCGTCTCCTATAAGCACAGTCACAATTGAGTTTTCCCACCTTAATCTCCCAAAAAAGTCTATCATCAAATCTTAAACAAATTTGGAATCTTTTCTGAAATCTCTCCATTTTCACACAACATGTTTAATTTGAACCCTTCCAAACAGTAGCACATTATAAGATTCCCCAAATCGAAAACCACTTGTTTTACACCACCGAGAAAATG